AAGGTAATGTCTCTGCTTTTTAATATGCTATTTAGGTTGGTCATAGCTTTTCTTCCAAGGAGCAAGCATCTTTTAATTTCATGGCTGCAATCACCATCTGCAGTGATTTTGGAGCCCACAAAAATAAAGTCTCTCATTGTTTCCATTGTTTCCCCATCTATTTCCCATGAAGCGATGGGACTGGATGCCATGATTGTAGTTTTCTGAATGTTGATTTTTAAGCCAACTTTTTCACTTTCCTCTTTCACTTTCATCAAGAGGCTCTTTAGTTCTTCTTCATTTTCTGCCATTGATGCTTATTATTTATTAATAAAAATAATATGTGAATATCTACTATCCATAAATAGATAGATACCCCAGCAACCACACCATCTAAACTATAGCTAAGGACAAAATTTTCTTTCTTCTTTTTTTTTTTAAGGACAAAAGTTTCTTTGCAGCTAAAATTAATGTCAAAATTTTTGAACAAACTCACACTTTATGAAAAGCAGAACTACTTTAGTTGTTCCTTAACTCAGGCCATTTTTTCCCCTCACTTTTCAGTGTTAATAAGCTTAATTATGTTTCTTCAGCATCCAATATAATAAGAAAAAATTTCTACATGATACAGAGAGGCACTCTAATCTTAGTATCACCTACCAGCAAAGAAATACCAGCATACATAAGAACTCTCTGTGACTGTTTCATACAAGACAGTCTGTCAGACTTCAGCAGGTCCTATCTAAACACAACATTTTATTGTATGTTATGAAGAAGGGGGAAAATAATCATTTCTATAAAGTATCTCTTTGTACGTCTGTATCTCTAGATATATCATATCTAGCCAGCTCTCTGTTGATGGACATTTAGGCTACTTACAGGTTTTATTTTTTTACTATTATTAACAACACTGCAAAAAACATCTTGCCTTATATCTTTGTTTACTAGATTTTTGTAGTGCGAATTTTTAGAAGTGTAATTTCTAAGTTTATGCAATACTTATTTTGACAAATATTACTAAATTTCTCATTCAAAAGGTTTGTACATTTCCATGACAGTGGAACAGTACATTCCAGTTCCTGGTTTGTCCACACCTTTGGTAACATTAGGTATCGTCAAAATTTTATTTTTGAAGTTTACAGCAAGTCATGTATATTCTTTTTCAGCTTATTTTCCTTTATAAGTTATTATAAGATATTGAGTGTAATTCCCTGTGCTATATATTAGGTCCTTGTTTTCCTGTTTTGTATATTTAGTGTGTATGTGTTAACCCCATACTCCTAATTTATCCTCCTCCCTTGCTGCTGACCTCCCATCCCCTTTGATAACCATAAATTTGTTTTCTATGTGTATCTGTTTCTGTTTTGTAAATGTTTATTTGTATCAAGTTTTTTATTCCACATATAAGTGATACCAGATGATACTGGTCTTTGTCTGGTTTACTTCACTTAGTATGATCATCTCTAGGTCCATCTATGTTACTGAAAATGGTATTATTTCATTCTTATTTTAATGGCTAAGGAATATTTCTTTATATATATACACCACATCTTTATCCATTCATCTGTCAGTGGACTTTGAGGTTGCTTCCATGTCTTGGATGTTGTGAATAGTGCTGCTGTGAACATTGGGATCCATGTATCTTTTCAAATGAGTTTTCTGTGCAGAGTGGGATTCCTGGATCATATGAGAACTCTATTCATAATTTTTAAAAGAACTTCCATACTGTTCTCCTAGTAGCTGCACCAATATACATCAGAACCAACAGTGTAGGAAGGTTCCTTTTTCTCCAAATCCTCTTCAGTATTTATTATTTGCAGACCTTTTGATGAAGGCCATTCTGACCAGTGTGAGGTGATACCTAATTGTAGTTTTAATTTGCATTTTTCTAACAATTAACTATATTGAGCATCTTTTTATGTGCCTGTTGGCCATCTGTATGTCTTTTTTGGAGAAAAGTCTGTTAAGGTCTTCTGCCCATTTTTTTGATTGGATTGTTTTTTGATATTAAGATATATGAGCTGTTTGTATAATTTGGAAATTAATCTCTTATTGGTAGCATAGTTTGTGAATATTTTCTCCCAGTTCATAGTTTGTCTCTGTTTTGTTTATGGTTTCCATCACTGTGTAAAAGTTTAATTAGGTCCCATTTGTTTATTTTTCTTTTCATTTCCATTACTATAGGAGATGGATCCAAAAAAATATTGCTACAATTTATGTCAGTGAGTGTTCTGCTTGTGTTTCCCTCTAGGAAATATTTAGGTTTTAGATTTAGATCATTACTCCATTTTGATTTTATTTTTGTATATGATGTTAGTCATCAAACTCTTATCTTTGTCAATTTGATATGTGAAAAATGGGTATCTCATTTTAATTTCCAGTTGTGTAAAGGCTTGAGCACTTATATTTTTCTGTGAATTGTCTTCTTATATCCTCTGCTTAGTTTTTTTAAATTAATTTTTTAATTAAAGGATAATTGCTTTATAGAATTTTGTTGTTTTCTGTCAAACCTCAATATGAATCAGCCATAGGTATACATATATTCCCTCCGTTTTGAACCCGCCCCCATCTCCCTCCCCATCCTACCCCTCTAGGTTGATACAGAGCCCCTGTTTGAATTTCCTGAGACACGCAGCAAATTCCCATTGGCTATCTATTTTACATATGGTAATTAAGTTTCCATGTTACTCTTTCCATACATCTCACCCTCTCCAACCCCTCTCCGCATGTCCATAAGTCTGTTCTCTTATGTCTGTTTCGCCATTGCTGCCCTGCAAATAAATTCTTCAGTACCGTTTTTCTAGATTCCATATATATGCATTAGTATACAATATTTATCTTTCTCTTTCTGATTTACTTCACTCTATATAGGCTGTAGGTTCATCCACCTCATTAGAATAGACTCAAATGCGTTCCTTTTTATGGCTCAGTAATATTCCATTGCATATATGTACCACAAATTCTTTATCCATTTGTCTGTTGATGGACATCTAGGTTACTTCCATGTTCTAGCTATTGTAAATAGTGCTTCAGTGATCAATGGGATACATGTGTCTTTTTCAGTTTTGGTTTCCTCAGGGTATATGCTTAGGAGTGAGATTGCTGGGCATATGGTGGTTTTATTCCTAGTTTTTTAGGGAATCTCTATACCGTCTTCCGTAGTGGCTATATCAATTTACATTCTCACCTACAATGCAAGAGCATTCCCTTTTCTCCACACCCTCTCCAGCATTTATTGTTTGTAGGCTTTTTGATGATGGCCATTCTGACTGGTGTGAGGTGATAGCTTATTGTAGTTTTGATTTGCATTTCTCTAAAAATGAGCGACGTTGAGCATCTTTTCATGTATTTGTTAGCCATCTGTATGTCTTCTTGCAAGAAATGTCCATTTAGGTCTTTTCCCACTTTTTGACTGGGCTGCTTTTTTGGTACTGAGTTGTATGAGCTGCTTGTATATTTTGGAAATTAATCCTTTGTCCATTGTTTCATTTGCTGCTTTCACCCATTCTGAGGGTTGTCTTTTCACCTTGCTTATAGTTTCCTTTGCTATGCAAAAGCTTTTAAGTTTAATCAGGTATCACTTGTTTACTTTTGTTTTTATTTCCATTACTCTAGGAGATGGGTCATAGAGGATCTTGCTTTGATTTATGTCATCGAATGTTGTAGCTATGTTTTCCTCTAAGAGTTTCATTTTCTGGTCTTACATTTAGGTCTTTAATCCATTTTGAGTTTATCTTTGTGTATGGTGTTAGGAAGTGTTCTAATTTCAGTCTTTTACATGTAGCTGTCCAATTTTCCCAGCACCATTTATTGAAGAGGCTGTCTTTGCCCCATTGTATATTCTTGCTTCCTTTGTCAAAAATAAGGTACCCATAGGTTCATGGGTTTATTTCTGGGCTTTCTATCTTGTTCCATTGGTCTATATTTCTGTTTTTGTGCCAGTACCATACTGTCTTGATGACTGTAGCTTTGTAGTATAATCTGAGGTCAGGCAGGTTGATTCCTCCAGGTCCATTCTTCTTTCTTTCGAATCTTTTGGCTATTTGGGGTCTTTTGTGTTGCAGTATGAATTGTGAAATCTTTTGTTCTAGTTCTGTGAAAAATTTTATTGTTAAATTCATATGGGTCACATTAAATCTGTAGATTATGTTTGGCAGTATAGTCATTTTCACAATATTGATTCTTGCTTCCCAGGAACATGGAAGACTCTCCATCTACTTATGTCATCTTTGATTTCTTACATCAGCATCTTATAATTTTAGGTGTACATTTATTTTGTTTGGTAAGTTTATTTATAGATATTTTATTCTTTTTGTTGTAATGATAAATGGGATTGAT